TAACCTAACCTAACCTAACCTAACCTAACCTAACCTAACCTAACCTAACCTAACCAAGTTTCAATGACATTAGTTTGATGGAGAAATATAAATTTGTTAAGGATGTATTAAAGGCTAGAATAGCACTAACACTTACTTATATACCACTTCACAGTGATTTATAGCTCACTCTAAGCCATTTACAGTCAGCATATTGTGCCAACAATCTAGGTCCACATTTTACTGACCTCAGAAAGATGGAAGGCTGAGTCAGCCTTGAGCCTGTCAGGATCAAACTGCTGGCAGTCGGCAGAATTAGCTGGCAATCCTGCATTCTAACCACTGTGCCACTATGGCTCAGAATGTTTTTGTAGCATTTCAGCATTCAGTGTATTTAACATCAGTCTTCTAGCAGTAATCCTGCAAAAAGCAATCTTTTTGTTACTGCATATGGGAAATTGAGATGGTAAGAAAACAACATTCCCAAGGCTGCTTACTGAGCTCATGACAGAATGAGCTGGGGATGACTTGAATTGTAGCCTACTCTCTTAGCTTGCTTTCAGACATTGTGGGTACTTCATCACTGGAGGTTTTTAAGAAGAGATTGGACAGTCACTTGTCTGAAATGGTATTGGATCTCCTGCTTGAGCAGGGGGCTGGACTAGAAGACCTCCAAGGTCCCTTCCAGCTCTATTCTGATTCTGAGTATTTTGGAAAGATTTAATAAAGATTAAACCTGTTTTACTCAAGTTTGAAGAATATTGCAGACCTGACCTGTTCTTCAGGAGAAAATTGTTTGTTCAGAATTTTGGCATGTTTGCTTGCCAACATTCTTAGCGGGCCTTTGAATGTGAATGTTCTTTGATAAGACATATAATGGGATCTTTCTCTTCTCAGACAGTCTAATTATTGGTTCCTTCAGATTTACAAAGAGAAGCAGCCACTGGAGAACAACGAGTTAGCCATCCGTAATATTTTCCAAGCTATAAGGACAGCCGAACTGAACTAGCTGAGGTTGCAAAGTTAATGGAAGGACTTTCAGGTCAAGTCATAACGGGAGTAGGATAGAGTGCCTGGAACTCTGAATATAGCCAACTTGGAAAAAATTCTTACTTCAGTCTAATGTCCATCAATGTTGATGAAGTCGTAAGTGGACTGAAATAATTTAAGTCCACACATTTTCTGCTGAAGTGTGTATAACCTATAAAACAGCCTTCCTAACATCTTACTTGCCAAATAGGTTGGTAACAGTCCTCAGAATCTGCATTGGATTTGTGGATTGTAATCTTAGAACTGCTGTTCAGCACATACCACATTAGTAAAAGCTTCTGAGGAATTATACAGATGAAAGGATTATTTTTACAAGGCCAATCTTCTAAATAAAGACTAAGGAAAAATTGTATTATTTCTAGGAATAATCCAGCAAGTAGATAAAACAGTAGTATTAGCTGAACTTTGAAAATTTCTCCCACTGGATACAGACTTTGTTTTTGCATCCACTTCTTTTTTATTATTTGCCAAAACCCAATACATTCTGAAGAAATTTAATATTTGCTTTCTACTTTGTTGGGTATTGGTGATTGTTATACACATCCCTACCACTATAGATGATCAGAATTGTACTTAGATTCTTCTGGCTTTGGAATCTTATTAAGTTGCTCATAATTTTTGAATCTGGACTGATAATTTTTTTTTTTTTTGAAACAAATTTTATTAGTTTTTAAAGACAAACAAAACATAAACCTTGTAGACATTAAACCTCTTTCCCTTATAAATTTTTACAAGGCAGATAATACATTATTTTATACAGTGTGATTTTAATATATCCCATTTCTACTTAAATATCTTTTAACACTCTCATTTCTTCTCTTTAAATTTAGTCATCCTATTCATATTTCCCTCTGTCTTGTTTGCAATTATTCTCCTCCCGCTTTCCTCCAAGGTTTTATTAAATCTCACATAAACATACACACACAAAACACATAAAGTAAAACTTCTTTTTCAAAAAAGTAGCTTGGCCCCGGATTACCTCTCTTTGTATGGACTTCAATTAAATTCATATTCATCTTATATACCATTACCTATCTTAATTACCATTCTGTGTCTTCTTTATAACTTCTCCCCTCTTTCCACTCTTCTTAATTCTATTTTGTTTATTATCTTAATTTAAATCATTATATTTCTATCCTTTGTCCATTCTTTTCCAATCGTCTATTTATCTCATTCCCCATAATAAAATAAAAGACTTTCTCCTGAAATCACAAATCAAAGTATGATGCCTTTCCATCACACCTCTAAATTAACATTTAAGGTAACACCAAGTTCCCTATCTGATTCTGCTTAGTACATACTACTTACAAAAAGAAAATAGTAAATCCATAACATAATTAAATATATAATTAAACATTAAATCTCATAACATTCCAATTATCTATTTCAAAAACAAATATTACAATAATATATTCATACTAACACCCACACAATAGTCAATTAAAATCTATATTTAAACTAAGTATTTTAAACCTTCCTTTTAATATTTTATTAAATCTTAAATTCTACCATTATTAAACCTTTAATATTTTAGTCTTTACTCAAGTCTTATAAAATTATAATTTTCTATTTCTAATACAAATACTACAATACTATCTTATGTACCTTGCAGAATCCTTTTAAAACAAAATTATATTACCCTTTATCCCTAAAAAACAATTTCTTTTTCGCATCTTGTTTCATACCCTTGTGGCCTTTCCCCGCCTTCTTCCTCCCTGTCTTATCCCATCTGGTCTTTTTACCCCCCTTAACTTCCCCTCTCTGTTGTATTTCTCTTTCCTTTTGCTTTCTAGCCTTGTATTGATTTTGCATCTTATTTTTCACTTTCTTAGATATTTTTTTAAGCCTTATATCCTTTCCCCCCCCTCTCTTTCTCCTTCCTTTCTTAATCAACTCTGTGGGTTCGTTAAAGATGGCTTCTTCTTCTTCTTCTTCCATCAGTTGTTGTATTTGCTGATAAGTAGCAAGCGCCATTTCTAAAAAGCAAAAATTTTTTCCCACATCGTCTTTCTTTATTTTGCCATATTTCTCTCTCAGTTCATCAGCAGATAAAGTCATTGTAAATCCTCTTCTTCTTCTTCTTAAAACAGCCAAAGATATTTCCAAGCTTAAAACAATTCCCAAAGTCCCAAAGTCATCAAACAATCCAAACAAAGCACAAAGTTCTTCCCTTCTTCCTGGGTTAATATCAGTTGCAAAGGGAGAAAAAAAAAGCCAATCTGTATTTTAAATTCTTATTACAGTAACTTCCAATCTCCAAAATCTTCCAGGCATCTCCTTCAACAAAATCTTAATATAAATTTTCCTTTTGTCCTCTCCCTTCCCATTTATAACAAGAAGCTTTAAATTTTTACCTTTTGTAAAATAGTAGGATTTTCAGTATTCATTTGTTAATTCCATGTGGAAGGAGAGTAAACTTTCACTTTAAACACTTTCACTCGCCGCTTGCAAATCTCTTCTGGAAACAAAGTATCTTTCAAAAAACAAAAAAACAAAAACCAAATCTTAGATTTCAGGGTATTAAATGTATCTTCTAGTCCCAGTTCAGCCAAAAAAACTTTCGCTTCAAAACTTTCTCCTTCTTCCTCCAGCACGATCTTGTCCGGCTGCTGGCTTCTTTGTGGCGGCCATTGCTGACCGCCGCTGGACCGACTTGAGAAAAGGAGGTTGTGCCGGGTGGGGAAGGGATCTGCGAACACCCCAACCCCCTGTCCGGATCCTCCCTGTCTTCGGTTGCCTCTACGGGGCAACCTTATCCTCCAGACCCGTCTGGGTCGGAGGAACCAAGAACGGCTAGCGCGGCGGGGATCGCAGAGATCGCGAAACCCCGCCGCCTCTGAAGCCTGGCGAAACCGGACTGATAATTTTGATTAAATTTCCAAATTGAATTTGGTGGAATTCCTTTAAACTTTTGTATTTGAGTAGTTGATTTTTGAAATGGAATCAAGTGCAATTAATAAACTTAATCAAATCAAATCAATCAGAGATAAGTCCTACACATTTAAGTAGATCTCAACCTAAATGTGTAGGACTTATCTCTGATTGATTTGATTTGATATAAAAGCACAGACCCCTAAGTTTCCCACCCACTTTATGCTTTGTTAACATGATTTGTTTCTCCAATGTTGATTGGTTCAATATAAGGCAATTTACTGTATATCTTTTACTTTCTTAAGTGCCAAATTGTGTAACTATTCTGAAATACTGTTATAGTCTTACATAAAGAGACATCCTTGTGTGCGTTGCAGAACTAGGAAGAACTTAGACCATTCAGTACTTTTTGAAGCCAAGTCTTTTGCTGCTAAACATTCTGAACAGCTTTGGGCTAACAACAAAAACATGCTGACAGCTTTCCAGACAGAAATGTTCCATAGGCAGAGAGCAGGAGAGATGCCAATGCCAGAAAGGCCAAAGGGCTATGCAATAGATTGGTTAGAATAGAATTTCCTTTCTTTTTTCTTTTTTTTCTTTTGCTCTAGTATCCTGTCAAACTACTGAGAAGGAGCTTTTGAGCATACCAATTTATAGGGGGAGGAAACCAAATTTTTGGAAGTTGTAGTATTTAATTTTTAAAATGTGTTTAAAATTAATTTCAAACATTTTTCAGTATCATCTTGTAGCTGAAATATTTGTGAACCTGTAGGGCATCTCAGAATTTTGAAGAAACGTTGTAATTTAGGAGTTTGAAGAACATCTGCTAATATGTGTTAAAAATCAATACTGCTGCAGTTCATTTTTTCTATCTTGCTATTCCACCTTTCGTGTTTACATTTTATGCTGCCTTGAAGGTCTGCCAGGCAGATTCCAAATTATAAATCAAAATAATTCAAGTATATTGACTAGATTTGCATATTATGCTAAGCCCTAATGCTATTTGTTTGTTTTTGCTTAGTATATTTCAAAAACCCATTCTTTGTTGTCTGTAATGCCTGTTATACAGTTTAGCATGTTGCCTGAACCAGGTGCATGACAGGTAACAAAGCCCAATTATTATGCTTCAGAACATAGCCATATGAAAAAAAAACATATAGAGTTAATAATAGTAATGCAAAGTAGAAAAAATAAGCATGATATCAGCAAGACAGTATCTATTGATTATTTGTTCATTCTGCTGTTTGGTAGACAATTGCTATATTTTAGTTTCCAGAGCTTTTGCACAGAGTTCTTTTATGAATAATCTTATTCAAACTCTAAAATGCTGAAGGAGAGTCAGTGGTCTTTGAGTGTCTATGAAATAATTTCATTGTATAGCACTACTTCTCAGTAATGAAAAGGCCTCTTATAAGTGATCAGGGCAAACAGTGGCTATTTTTACGGAATCTTATTCATTCTATTAAACATTCACAAAATACATTCTTCCTTCACTGTGTTATTAGTTATTAGAGTTTGAACCTGGTTTTTAATCTTATAATATTGGAAACATCTTTTTTAGAAGTTCTTTTTGTTCTTTTTCTTTTGAAGGGATGGAACTACAGATGTGACAAGGACTATGCATTTTGGTACCCCATCAATGTATGAGAAGGTATACAAAATATTTTTCCCCCTAATTGCCTCTCTCCAGCAGCTTTTAATTAGTAAACATTCTAGGCTACATCATTTGCTACATTTCATTCATTTAATGCAGGGAACTATCTGAAAATCAAATCTGATTATATGAATTGTCCCTTAAATGTTATAGGTAAGATATCCAACCTTAGGATCCAAGGCCACCCACCCTCATGGACGCCAGGTTCCACAAGGAAGGAACGATTCTTTGAAAGATGTATGAGAATAGAAACCATTAAACTAGGAAAACAGCAAACAAGTAACTCAATAGAATTAAGATGGCATCTTGTGCACTCCCAAGTCTTCCTATCGCTAGCTAGTTCATATACCATGTATCCTCAAAGTGTACTGTACCTTTTTTCAAACAGCCCAGTTGATTGGGTGACTGTCAGTAGTAGATTCATAGATCCCCAGTTATTGTGTTGCCCAGCTGGTGTGTTTATTATCCTATCTTCTGCAGCATCACTGAATATAAGCTGTACATAGTTTTTATCCATAGGTCATTACAATTTACTTTTTATTTTGATCAGTTTCATTTTATTGATCTTGTCAATGCAATTGGTCCATGATTTCTTTTGAAGTTAACTCAAATCTTTGGACAAATAACTGAAGATGAAGAGAAAATTCTATTTTTTCAACAATATAACTTTAGTGTTGGGGAAAAATAATGATCCAAAAACAAAATCTACATAAATTAACTTGTTTCCAGTTTTTTCCTCCTTTCCAATAGTTATTAAGCCAATTATTTTTGCACCTACTTTGAAGACATGCAGCAAGTTATATAGGGCTTCGTTTTTCTAATTAAAAAATCCTATCCTGTTTTTTTATTTTTAAGTTAATACATAAAATGCTATTCTTTTGGTGTAAGCAACATTATACAAATCAAGAAAAAGAGTACATAGTCAGTAAAGAAAGTTGAAGGAAGGTAACAAGAAGAAATACATCTAAAACTAGTTTATACACACTTAATTTATTATAGCTCTGTATCTTTTTAGCGACTTGCTTTCTCCTTATCCTTGTTTTCTCCTCATCTATATAGCACCTTAAACTTTCAATTTCTCTTTGAGGAACTCATCAACTCCAACTAATCATGACTACCTTGGTTTCCCCCTTCCTCCTTTGCAATTTGTACCTCATTCATTCTCTCTGCATCCTCAATTCACTGAAAGATACATTGGCATTAGTCACCCACTTCATAAATCGATGCATCATTCTCCACATCTCTAAAATTTAGAAGTACTAGTATAGCTTAATAACTTTCTTCCGGTCAATGACAGAAATTCTTAATACAAATATATAACAGAGCCAAGGAGAACATTTATGGTAAGTCCATGTAAAGACTGATTATATGAAAGCTGGATCTTTTAGCCTACAGCCTCCATCCCTATTAGTTGTAAAGAAATTTGTGGATTATACTGCTCTTTATTATCTTTCAAAAGTAACTGCAACTTGAAATATATTGACAGATATCAGTCCAGAATGATATCAGACCAGTATCTAAATGGTCCGGGCCACAAATGATTAGACATTTGTTTTTATTTGCTTTGTTTACTGTGTTTTCTTTCTTTGCAGGAGTGTTTTACCTATGTCCTGAAGGGCCACATAGCAGTCAGTGCAGCCATATTTCCTAATGGAACCAAAGGTTAGGATTTTTTTAAAAAAATTCAGTGTTGTCTATTAAAGTGATCATCAGCAGCTGTAGTGATGTCATTTTCATTAATTGGATCTGGAAGGAGATATTTAGGGCATTGGGTCTAAGAGACTGAAAGTGTAGACTGTGTTAGTAGAATTTAGTTAAAATCCTGAATGGTTTTGAGTGGCTCAGCTGTCAATGATTCACTTGGTGACATTGGGTCCCCTGTTGAATCTGATGATGCACTCATTGTATTAAGCCATAAACAATATTTTTTCTATGCCAGAATTAATTGACTGCATTAAAATGTGAACTAGGGTTTATAAACAATAACATCTCACCAGATTGTTATGGAAGCTTTTAGCTGGTGTGTACATTGTGTGTTGTACTTTCAGTATTTTAGAGTTCACAATTTAATGAAGTAAACTTTTGTCTTTGTTATTTTGTACCAATGGCCAATTCCTATTGTAGGATTGGAACTTCTAAGAATTCCACCATATTTAATTTCTCCTCTGGATTATTCTGGCAAGTTTTCCAAATTCAATTCTTTAAATTAGAAATAATTGGTGACATGGTATGGCCATCTTTCATCTCTGATATTAAATTCAGAGTATAAAAAAATATTTTCTGTTCAGGTAATTAACATAGGAAAAAATCATCACTAATTACTTTAGATAATTAATTTATGGAAAAATCAGTAGACATAACGGCCAGATCAGCAGGTCCCAGAGGAGAAACAAAATGTTTCCCAAACCATTTCCTATTACACTCTTCTTGATTATAGCATAAAAATATAATTTAAAAAAGGGATAGTTTGGAGTTGTTATATTTGTATCTTGGTAACTTCTGTTTTGATATATAGGTCATCTCCTGGATTCCTTTGCTCGCTCTGCATTGTGGGATCAAGGCTTAGATTACTTGCATGGTACAGGTCATGGAGTTGGTGCCTTTCTCAATGTCCACGAAGGTCCATGTGGCATTAGCTACAAAACATTTGCAGATGAACCTCTGGAAGCTGGAATGATTGTTTCTGATGGTAACTTATCCCTGTTGATTGTTATATGAAAACACATATAGATCTCTTTGGGCAAATGTATTTTGCTTTTTTTTTTTAACTTTTGGAATATTTGTATAAGAATGTTTAACCTTTACATATTGTTTGGTTCCACATATTTTATAGGGTAGGACGAGAATGCAATGGTATTTCCTCAAAAAATAAACATGAATAATGCGATTATCAGACTATTTTGTATTTTTAAAGTATCTTCAAGTATTCAGACTTTTTGCACACACTATATCTCAATAATCACTAAAATAGTTCTGTAAGGTCAATTATTCAGTTTCCAACAAGGGTCCTCTCAAAGATGTTTTCTTAGATTAGGTCACAGACGTTTACCGCTAGAATGTTTTATTTACCCATCTTGTATGCATTAAGGCAGGATGTGATCCTGTATTCACTTAAACATAGCACACTTTTTAAAAATTGACTATATGAAATTTGAGGAGCTGTTGGCCAATACTTGGCCAATACTGACCAATATTTCTTACTTGTGAGAGTTTTGCTTTTATTTTTGAGAGTTTTATTCTAAATGTTTTTCCCCTTAATTATATCTCTACAGAACCTGGTTATTATGAAGATGGCTCTTTTGGGATCCGAATTGAAAATGTTGTCATTGTTGTTCCAGCTAAAACAAAGGTGATTGATTCTTCAACATCTCCATGACATGATTCTTATGTGCATGCTTCCCTGCTGATGTATTTAGAAGTTTAATCCAAAATAAATAAGCCCTCTAATGCAGGGGTCCCCAACCTCTGATCCATTGACCAACATCAGTATGTGGCATGTCAGAAACCAGGCTGTGCAAACAAGTGAAGCTCCATTCATGGGATGCAGGAAGCACACAAAACCCCGCCCCCTCTGGTCCCCGGAAAAAATTCTCTCCACAGAACCAGTCCCTAATGCCCTAAAGGGTTTTTTTTTGGGGGGGGGGGGCACTACTTTAATGTAACAGTATATAGTTTCCAGCATATGGCTCAGAACACAACATGGTTTTGAAATGTATCCTATTTTTCATGCATTCTTCCCTCTGGGATGCACAGCATGAGGACTTTGGACACCAATTGGATTTGAACATCTCCTTTGATGCCTGTTAAGTTTGATTCTTTTTATTTTAAGAAAATAAATGGGAAATTGGCACCCATTACATAGGTTTGCTTAGGAGATAAAAATGGTGGCTATTTATAGTCTCATGCATTAAGAACATGCAAAGTAAGCTGAGCTGAGACTGAAGCAAGTAATAAAAAAACTGGTTTTGAAACTGGCATGATAACCATTTTATGAGAGCACCCTAACATGACAATTGGTCAGGATAACATAACATGGTATGCTGACCGATTCAGAGTTTGACTATTCATCTTACCTAATTGCTGACAAAACCCGTACATTTTACATTTGATCAGAACAGAAATATTCATTTCACTATGCCTACAAACTTTCATGCTAGATTCCTTGGTTGGGAATTTTTTTAACAAGTGGGGAACCTTGTTAAAGTTTGTTTTAAAGTGTATTTCTTTAGAACAGAGCAAAACTGTCTGGCAATTATGCATACATATATTTGTTCCTCTTTAAGAGAAATATGACTAAGTAGCCTTTTCTTCTTCACAGTATAACTTCAGTAACAGAGGGAGTTTGACATTTGAACCATTGACTCTGGTCCCAATCCAAACTAAAATGATACTTGTTCACTTACTGACTCAAAGAGAGGTAAGATGGGTATTAAATGGATTGTGGTTTATTTGGAAGCTTTTATTCTGAACTTTGAAATTAAATCAAAATGACAATACCAAGGAGGAGCCAGACAACTAGAAAAATGCTGTTAATATTTACTAAAGGGCAGGAAGAAGTTGGAGAGTTAATAAGGAACTGCAGTCATCTTTGGGGTGTGGCTGATGCAGTGTGAGTAGATTTACGTATGAATAACAGCCACAGAAAGTTTGCCAATAGCACTGAAACTTTAGCAAGGTGAAAGCTATGAATTGTAATGTAGTAGAAAAGAATGCAATTCCTTGCTAAACTAAACAATATTATTATGTGCTCCATTTATATCACTATAATGACCTGGATTTCCTAAGCATGTAATCAGGACCTAAATTAAAGAGAGTGATTATAAGCTTCTTGCAAAAGTATAAAAATCTTTAATAATGAAATATATCTTGATTCCTCTCTCAAAAAGCCTACTATTACTACTACTACTGGGAGCATTGGGCACCCAATGAACAAAACAACAGCAAATTGTGCAGATGCTTCTAATAATTTTTGAATAATTTTTGAAAGTAAGCATAATTTTTGAAAGTAAGGCTGGGTAATTAGGAGCTTGAACAATCCCTATTTAATTCATAGCATACACTGGAAAGTTTAAAACTCAAACTCAAAATAAATAAGTCTGCCTTCTATATATTGTATATAAATTATGCATTTACTTTATGGGATCTGATAAAATCTTTATTACTATAATAGATTGTCATAAATGGAATCTAACAAATGCACACACACCTCTGTGGACAAATAGATGACAAAATCATGTGTCATGCAATGAGGTCTCACATTTCTGTCAGATTTCTTAACATTATATCCTGCTCCACAATTCTCTATGTAGTTGCGCCTGTCCTCTGAAACAAGGTTGCTTCCTAGATTTGTATGCCTCCTCCCCCTCTACTGTTGTTTAGAACAGAGGTCTCCAACCTTGGTGATTTTAAGCCAAGTGGACTTCAACTCCAGAATTCTTGGAGTTGAAGTCCACCAGGCAAGGTCACCAAGGTTGGAAACCCCTGGTTTAGAAGGGCGATGAAGAGCCAGTTTTTCACCCAAACCTTTGATGAGGAAGAAATCCTTTCCCTTTATCATGCTTGCCATTTTTTAATCTTTCTTTTAGACAATTTCTTTCTTTTTCTCTCCTTTTAGTGTGACTGGCTGAATGACTACCACAGAAAATGCAGAGAAGTGATTGGGCTAGAACTTGAACAACAAGGAAGGCATGGAGCCCTTCAGTGGCTCATTAGAGAAACAGAGCCAATCTCTCAAGCACACTAATTGTGTATTTCTATTTTTGGATGTAGTTCCTTTTTAAAAATACATGTTCAGGACTGCTTTGTCTTTACGGTAATGATTTGGGGGAAGGCATGGTTTTTTAAAAAGAATAATAATCAAGAGAAATAGAAGAGGAACCAATGGGCAAGATAGAGGGTGAAAGGATTTATTCCCCTGTGATGTTGTCTCTGTTTTTTTTCTTTTTGATAATGAACAAAATTAAATTCAGAGCTGTGAAATCTGTGTCTTAAAACAATGAGATGGGTTAGTGGGAAAGAACACATGGCTGTGAAACTAATCTCTGGATCAAATTGATCAATCTGCTTGGATAAACAATGGAAGTAAGAAAACCTGCCATAATGTGAGTTGACACTTGGCAATTTTCTCAAATGTTAAGGAGGAATGGTATTGCATCAAAGGTACACATATCTGCTGAAATCAGTGTCTGCATAGGTTTAGGTTTCCTGAAGAATAGAATTTCTCATAACTATTCCTGAAAGATTTTAGCACCTGGCTTTGCTGCATCTCACACCTCAATTAGGCAACTAGTCACTGCATATTTATCTTTCAGTAAAGGAAGTGCCAAACAATACACTGCATTTCTGGAGTATTCATCACAGATCATACATGATCCAGTGCATGCAGGCTGTATCCTTATGCCTGTCTTATCTAAACTATGTCCATTGCATTAAGGAGTTTTTATTGCAAGACACTTAGGACTGAAGCCTCAGCAGAATATGTCTCGATAGCTTCATGCCACCTCAACAACTCTCAGTAATTTATTTTCAGCAGATCCAAATAATAAATGGGGAGATTTGCAACTGAGTAATGCCAAGGGTGGTATGTTTTCTTTTTCTTTTTTCTTAGTACATTAAACATTCTGAAACTCTTGGACACAGATAACAATACCCACCTTGCTGAAGCATGCAACATAACACAACAAAATTTTGTCATGACTATGTAAATGTGTGTAATAAGTAAACACAGTATCAACAAATGTAAGGATCTTTTGAATGTCTGAACAAATTCTTTATGGGTTTTATTTTTTAGACTGCAAAGAGCTCCAAGGATCTACAGGTGTTACCTATTGAAAAGTTTAGTCCAATTTTTTTGTGATAGCCTTGAAGTTAATAGAATGTTAAATCCCTTTGATTAAAGTAGACTATGCTTTTCTTCAAGCATGAGAAAGGAATGGGGCAAAACTTAGTACATGTTACTTTGAGGCTACTCTATATGCAACTCTCTGCACTAAGAACATCCTGGATCTGCAGAAATAGTTCCAGAGAGAGATCTCAGATTGCCTATTTCTTTTGGGTATATTGGAAATGATGAAAGTTATCCCACTTTATGTGTCATAGATTGGGGAAGTACAATTTGTGCATATTTTAAAGCACACTTTTCTGTGGAGGAATGTGTTAACATTCAAGTGTATCAATTAATTAAAAAAACAAATTCTAAATAATTCAAGTTTGTTAATGTGGTGATGTATAGGAATGCTAACATGGAGTATTTGAAATTTAAGAGACATCTAAGACACAATTGTAAGAAAAATAGTTCTTCAAGAAGCATATAAAATATTTCAACTGCCACATTGTACACAGATTAATGCAGTTTGGGGAAAGAGAATGCAGTATGCTAGTAGTTGATTTAAAACAAGGGTCTTCAAACTTGGCAAGTTTAAGACTTGTGGACTCAACATGACTGGAGGAGGAATTCTGGGAATTGAAGTTCACAAGTCTTAAAGGTGTCAAGTTTGAAGACCCCTGATTTAAAACCAAGTGATAGTCGCAGTGTGATCTGACTAGAAAAACAAAACAAAATGCAAGTGCAGTTTTAGGCTTCATCAACAGGAGTATACCCTACTTTCCAAATTGTTATTACAAAAGAAAAAGATCCATCAAGGGTGTAGAATATGAATAATGGAGAACATGTCTTGATTTTATTCTGCATAGTGTTTTTTAAGTATTTCTTTGTAGGTCCATTTTAACTCATCGGAAAAAATTGCTAACAAGTAGTGGTACTAATTCTTAGAAATGATAAATTGCCATTCACTAGACCTTTACTAGATTCCCTTCACTAACCAACCAACTGTTAGAGGAAGGGATACTTTGGATTACCAAGCAGTGGTTTGGTTTCAGTGGCCAGAATGACATTCCCTGATGTGATTCCAATCACGGTGCATTCAAAGCAAAGCATGAATTGCTGTGTAATGAGATGAGTGGCAAACCAATTTAATAAATAATACAAAATGAGGGGAGCCAACAAGCAGCAATATAAATTTTAAAGCTCACAAAAGAGCTCTTTACCCTAATGTATCAAATATATGCTATTGCAAAAAAGGATGGTGAAAAATCTGGCACACATTAACAGCAGAAAAGCACCATTAAAGGGAGATTTCATTTTTTGCTCGTGCTGCTTTCCTACTTTTCTCAAAAGAACTCATGTTGTTGGGGAAAATTTTTCCACATTTTCTTCAGTGCTCCACTGAAAAAGGTAAGCTGTAAAAGCAAATGACTAATGAAGCTCTGAGAGATCTTCACAGCTTGATGCACTAATCAAGCATTTTGTGAAGTTGGCAGTAGTTACTTCAAAAAAAGCATCTTACATCATTGAAGCAATGTGACTAGTAAGCATGGAGGGAATGCATGCATGTGAATGTGTTGTTGAATTGTTTTACATCATCTGACAGCCTGATAGCACTAGTGATGGGCCAAGTAGTCTTTTTGCACATAGTCTGAGTATATGCACAAGCTTCTTCTGATGCTTCCGCTATTTCCACTTTAAAAAATGCCATCTGTGTATGCACAGCAAATATGCATATCAATATACTTTATATACCAATGACTGCATCTCAACAGTCCCTCTGTTAAAGTACTGAAGTTTGCAGATGATACAACAGTGCTTGGCCTCATTCGAGACAACAATGAATCTGCATACAGACAGGAGGTTGAACAGCTAGCCTTGTGCAACCAGAACAAAATACACTCAAAACCGTAGAAATGGTAGATTTTAGGAGAAACCCTCCTATACTACCACCTCTTACAATACTAGAAAACACAGTATCAACAGTAGATACCTTCAAGTTTCTAGTTTCTATCATATCTCAAGACTTAAAATGGACACCTAACATCAAAAATGTTATCAAAAAAGCACAACAAAGAATGTTCTTTCTGCGCCAACTCAGAAAGCTCAAACTGCCCAAAGAGATGCTGATTTAGTTCTAGAGGAACTATTGAATCTATCATCTGCACCTCTATAACTGTCTGGTTTGGGTCTGCAACCAAACAAAACAGAAAGACTTCAACGGATAATTAAAACTGCAGAAAAAGCAATTGCTACCAACTTGCCTTCCATTTAGGACCTGTATACTGCATGATTCAAAAAGAGGTCTGTGAAAATATCTACAGATCCCTCATATAAATTGTTTCAATTTCTATCCTCAAAACGACTCTATACGGCACTGCACACCAGAACAACTAGACCCAAGGACAGTTTTCCCCTGAATGCCATCACTCTACTAAACAACACTGTCAAATTATTTACTAAGACTGTATTACTATTATTCTTTTCATCCTTCCTAGTACCTATCTCTTCCCACTTATGACTATAACTGTATTGTTTGTATCTTTACAATTTAGATTGTTTTATTTGTTTCCTAGTATGATTTGATTGCTTATTAGTAACCCGTGACTATCACTAAGTGTTGTACCTTATGATTCTTGATGAATGTATTTTATTTTTTCTTTATATACACTGAGGGCACCAGACAAATTCCTTGTGTGTCCAATTACACTTGGCCAATAAAGAATTCATCTTCTCTTCTCTTCTCTTCTCTTCTCTTCTCTTCTCTTCTCTTCTCTTCTCTTCTCTTCTCTTCTCTTCTCTTCTCTTTTCTCTTCTCTCCTCTCCTCTCCTCTCCTCTCCTCTCCTCTGTACAAAACCTGTTCTGCTTGTTAGAAGTATCAGTCAAGGCTGTGAAAAACACAACCTAAGACGGCATATTGTTCCACTGGGACAGCTTCAAAGGGATACTTTGCAGAAATCCTTGAAGCAAAGACCCTTTTTTCAGCTTCACTAGGCAATATGACAATATACCTGAACAAAGCAAGCACTGTCTTAAAGCAAGGCTACAGACAAAGACTATGTGGGCAAATGCTTGAGTCACAATAATTAATCAAAACCAGAAATGGGACTAATCTGCCTGTCATTTCTGCTTTATCTTGTCCCAGTCCTGTTCTGGGTGATCATCTTAATGTTACCAGTGGATCATTAAATAGCATATGAATGATGTTAAGCAGAAAGGCATTGTAGTGGTTTGGCAAGGGACTACATTGATTTATTAAGCATCACTTTTCAAGACAGGAGAATGACAGAATCTGAAGTTGTTTTAGAGTATGAAAGCAACAAATGTTACCTGAGTAAATATATCTTGCTTAGAGGAGTTCAATCATATTGTATGAAAGATATAATTAGACTGATGATAACAATAATTCTTGTTGGAAACATCCCTATGAGGGGAAACAGAAGTGAACAAAATGCAGGGCATTTCAATCCAGGGTTTGGTTGGAGGTAAAAGTTATCCCCACCTTACTGTATCTGTAAATGTACAGTTTCTACTTCTTTCCATAGATTTGAGTCATTCTTTTTAATGTAAAAAATAGGGTAATTTCCATGTCAGAAGAATTGGTTATTCCACAGTGGCAATACCTTACATGTACTGTATCTCAGAGACCAGAAACGGCCACTCATTTTGATAAGCAGAGAAGAGTTTTAAATAAGTGCAACATCTTTGAAATTTCCAGTTATAGCTGAAATTACAATAGCAGTAAGAGGGAAATGCATTAGAAAATTTCAAAGGAAATGGAAGGAACTCTTCTTTGACATTTTAATTAACTTGCTATTTTAATGACTTAGAAACAAATTTAATACAAGAATTTAAATATTCAAGTTGCTAGGACTGAAAATGCACTTTTGGCATAAGCAATATTACTCAAAGAGAAGAAAAAGAGGAAGAAATTTTAAGCCATAAAAATTAAAGTCAAGAGATAAAAAAGAAATAAGAAACATGGCTAAATCTAGCTAATAATAAA